GACATGTTTTTTATTATTGTCATCAGTGATTATCTCAATTTCGGCTAAAAGACTTGACAAAATCCTACACACTGTTCCTTTAAATAAAAATAAAAAACACAACCAGATACTAAACTATAAAAGCTGCTAAAAAGGTTTAATAGCAAAACAGTTAATGCGAGTTGATTTGAACTGCTGCTTTGTATATAAAGTTGGAAAACAAAAGTAAATTATCTGTACTTGTATAGCGCCCCCAACCAGGATACTCAAAGTGCTTCACACTAAAATCTGTGTCCTCATTTATCCATTCACACAGCACTCTATCAGATCTCCTAWAAGCTAACATACAATAACTATGGAGATTAATCAGTGCTAGTCACATTCATTCCTTCCAGGGAATCAAATTGTGGAACAATTTGGGAAACGTTTACAAAAATGCCAATACGATTCACATATTTGCTAGATTGGTAAAAACTTTTTTGTTGTTAAAATATGAACAAAATGTAGATTGAGTATTAATTTGAGTATTTTTAGATTGTTTTTGTTGTATTGTGCTTATCACTGATGTTGAAAAGTGAACTACATTATTAATGAATATTCACAGGCTGTTTCCCCCTTGAGAAATTTTCTCTTTTAAGTAGTACTATCAGTTGTTTTTTTTTTCTAAATGAAATATATAGAAAATAAAAATATAGAAAATATAGAAATACAGAAAAAAAGATGAAGAAAGGGCACACACACACACACACACGCACATATACAGTATATTGCTTGATGACCTTAAGAATGCTGGAACAACTTATTTATTTAGTAGAATACTAAACCTCTTTTCTAAATGAGATATGAACAAAATATTGGTTAAGATTAGTATTTGTATTGTGTTGATTATTTGAAATTATATTGTGTATTAAGTTGAGTTTTATTACTCGTATGTTGTATGTTTTTTAGATACATGTCTTTAATTGGGGTCAGATGTTATAAGATTTTATTCTTTCTGCTTCTTTTCATTTGACTACGTTGTGATTGTCCTTTTGACACAACGTTGTTGTATTATTTGTTTGTTTCTATTATTATTTGTTTGTTTGTTTTATTATTTGTTTGTTGAATGAAATAAAGTTCTAAGCTAAACTAAACTAATACACTGATGGGACACACAGCAGAGGCTTTAGGGGTTGAAGTATCTTGTCCAAGGACACAAGAACTGAGACAACTGGAATGGGGGATCGAACCGGTTGCCTTCCGGTTCCAGGATGACTCCCCTGACCACTCTGCCACAACCAGTAGAA